CAGGAATGCAATTATTGTCTACGTTGACCAAAAAAGCTGCTCTTTGCTCTGACCTTGACCAGGAAAGGTTCATCATGAAGTAAAATCGTTTCATCTGTTGTGTTTGGTAAACACGCTCTGAGTACAGCATCCCTGTTTTGGCCAGCACTTGTTAGTTATTGCATGTGTGGGGATTGTACGGGGATATATTATTTAGCCAAATTGTAAAACGCCAAATATAAAAAAAGAAGTGATGGCAATATTCAGTACACTATTGCCTTCCTTCTGTTATTCTAAATTTACTCACTCTCAGGGCATCTGGGTGGCTCAGTAGGTTAAGTGTCCAACTCTTGGTTTCAGCTCAGCTCATGATCTCACCATTCATGGGTTCGAGCTCCATATCAGGCTCTGTGCTAACAGTGCAGAGCCTGCTTGGGATTCTCTCCCTCCCTCCCTCTCTCTGTACCTCCCCTGCTCACTTGCTCTCTCTCTCTCAAAATGAATAAATAAACATTATTTCTCTCTCTCTCAAAATAAATAAACATTAAAGTATTCTTTATAAGTAGTTGTAAACATCTGAACATCTCACTAGACCTTCTGCAGTCATTTAAATATTAAAATGTATATTATTTTGTTATAGGTTATTTTTTTCTTCTCTATACTCCCAAGTATAAGGGCATCATATTGATTTTTTCAAAATATGTACACCGAAAGCTTATACTGAGAACATTGGCAGATTTTGAACAGAGGAATGCCATGATCTGACTTACATTCTTGCAAAGTTTGTGTGAGAGAAATCATAAAGGATTCTCAGTTTTGTGCTTGACTCAGTAAATATCTTAATGGGATCTTCCTTCTCTTTTCCAAGATAGAGAACAAGGCACAGCAGGCTACTCTGTGAAACATGAAACAATACCACCCTCTAGTGGGGAAAGTCCTGACTGTTTTATAAGCAAAGCCTTCAAAGTTTATTTAACAAAGGATGTGCAGTTAAAATTTAAGCTACTGTATTTTCTAAAGAATTAGATAAGTCTTGGTGTAAATCAGAAATTCCTTACCTGAAGTGATTTTAAGTAAAAACAAGGTAATACAATTTCTAAGACATAACTTTATTCTATTTCTCCTATCACATGAAATTAGTTCCCAGATGGAAGCTTTGTTTGTTTGTTTGTTTTTAAGTAGGCTCCTTACCCAACATGGGGCTTGAACTCAAGAACCTGAGATTGGTAGTCAAAAGCTCTACCGACTGAGCCAGCCAGGCGCCCCCAAGGAGGTATTTCTTTCAAGGCTTCCACTTCAGATGTTGGTGAGGCTTCATTTTTTATTTATTTATTTATTTTTTTAGCCCAGTTTCTAGTTGTGAGCCCCTGACGGGGTTCAGGGCAGGCTGCCCCCAAATATACCACTTGGGCATTCTGATTATTTTGAATTAAAGTTAACTTAAGAAATGACAGTGCTAGAAGGACACTCTGACTCTCCTTTGTCTCCTGAGAAGCAGGAAATAAATCTCCCATGTGAAAGGTACCCTACTATACCAGGAGCGGGGGAGACACCCTCATCACCAGAGATAGGGACTCTAGGGCCAAGAGTGCTATATAAACTTACCACTTCTTCACTACTTTACCACCCCAAGCCCTATAAAGTAAAATAAATAAATAAATAAATAAATAAATAAATAAAGCCTGCCTGAGTTGGTCCCTTCTGTAAGTCTCATATTTCTATGAGCTCAAATATTATGAATTAAGTTTGTTTTTCTCCTGTTAATCTGTCTTGTGACAATTTAATCATTAGAGGAGCCTAAGAGCCTAGAAGAGAAGAGAAGAAAGGAGAACTCCTCTCTCCCTACATCACACTCTCTTCCCTGGATGATCTCATTTCTACCACTCTGTAATCACCATATATGCATATTTAAAAGCTTTATCTTTTAGCTTCTGGCAAGACCTTTATTCAAGATCCAATTTCTAAATCTGACTTCAAGGCATGTCTTCCCCTGCATTTTCTCATAGGATCTCAGTAACCACAAAGCAAAGCCAGGGCTCATCACATCTCCCCCTGAATGTTCCTACCCTTCCTGCGATATGTTGTAAATGAGAGGAAATGCAGTTACTCACATAAGAACCTAGAATTCATCCTTGATGCTTCCCTTTTTCTAACTCCTCAGGTCTAATCAAGTAGCTACCATTGTCCATTGTATCTCAAAAATTATTTCTCAAACCCAGCTAACTTTATCACTCACATAAGGTCTCAGAGACAAAAAAAAAAGGACAGAGAGAGAGAGAGAGAGATTAAGTAGTCATACAAATAAATGTAAAATTACAACTTAACTTAAAATCTAGAAATGAGGGGCACCTGGGTGGCTTAGTCGGTTGAGCGTCTGACTTTGGCTCAGGTCACGATCTCCCTCAGTTCGTGAGTTTGAGGCCCACATAGGGTTCTGTGTTGACAGCTCAGACCCTGCTTCGGATTCTGTGTCTCCCTCTCTCTCTGCCCCTTCCCCCCTTAAATAAATAAACATTTAAAAAAAATAAAATCTAGAAATGAGATGCACCTGCTGCCTTGAATGTATATATTAGAGAGGCTTCACCTGATCAGGGAGGTCAGAGAAAGATTTCTGAGAAATGATTATTGACCTAAGCAAGTGACCCAATACCATATGTGGCCATGTGTGGCTATTTATGTTTAAATCACCTAAAATCAAATGAAACGTAAAATTTCATTCCTCATTCTCATTATGCATATCTCAAGCACTCAAAAGCCACGCACACGTGGCTGGTGGCTACCAAACTGGACTGTGCAAATACAGAACATTGTCAACATCTCAGAAAGGTCTACCAGGCAGTGCTTAGTGAGAGAAACAACAGGTGTTAATCAGGCCAAGAAAGAAGGGAAGAACATCAGACAAACAGACCCCCAATAGGGGGAAGCATCCTGGAGACGGAAAAGACTTCACAGAGAGCCATTGTGCCCAATGCTCCCAGGAGGCATCGGAGAAGTAAAAGAAAAAGCAGTAGCAGAAGAAGCAGGATAGGATTTATCTTCTAAAGGCTGGGAGGGAAAAAAACTAAACAAACAAAAGCAATTCGATGAAAGATGATGAAAGAAAATAAGAAACTACAAAAAAGAGTAAGTAGAGAGAGAGAAAGAAAGATGGTAGAGATGAAGTATATTAGATCTAAATTTGGATCCCATGTACCAGAGGCTGTGTTGTTAATCTGCTCAAGGAAAGATACTACATTCAGCACAGCAGATGCAGGGCCAGACCAGCGAATTAAATGGGCAGATGGGGGCAAACCATTCTTGCACCCTTGAGTCTCTGAAGGTCACATTCATTTCTGTCATATTCCCAGGTGTGTGATGCGTTTTTTTTTTTTTAAATTCTGTGATGCTAATTTTAATTTCTGTGACAGCTTCAGGGCTTCTATTTTGCTTTTTTCAGGAGTAATTATGACTCCATGAGTGAAGGAGCTAATTTGAGAAGCTGCAACTACATATATTATTAAAAATCGGAATGAGATTTGGAAAACAGTGAAAAGATCTTCCATCTCTGGTTGACCGTTTTCTACGAATTATCACTCGCCTCTGAAAATGTTAACCATATTTATCACAAAGTCTTGGGATTTTTGCGCTATATGTCTGTTCCCTTTGATCTTAACTCTTACGTGATGACTTTTTATATCCTGGTTATGTTGTTGGCCATATATAAATGGTGATTCTTTTTTTTATTCTGTTTTTAATTTTAAACAATAACAAAAGGCTGCCATTTGTTAAATTTCACTTGCTTGCCATGCATGTTAGATTGTAGGTATTAGTATCTTCATTTTGAATATTTGTTTCAGATAAGGAAGTTTGAATGAGAGAAATTAAATGAAGACAAAACAAGTCACAAAACTAGTGAGAACAGGGTTAAGATTTCAAGAGAGGCGAGTCTGATGTAAATGTCAGCATTGCTCTTCCATTAAGCTGCTTCCCGTTGATAGAGCTCTGCAATGGTTGATTCTCTTCCAATTCAAACATCTCATCAGGCAGCCACCTTCATACCCAGCATTCTTCTCCACCGGAGTCCTTACACATTCAGGTGTATTAAAAAAGATAAGTAGGTCATAGGAACCAACCTTTCTACCACCAACTAAAGCACCACCCAGTACCCCTGGGATGCCCTACTCTGTAGTTTTCCAGAAGTTGAAAAATGCTCATTTCCTTTGAATTCAACCCCTCAGTCACCTACCCATCTACTCACCCACCCACGTCTTTTACTTTGCCCAAGGTCTGATTCACCCTAGTGGAATGTTCTCAGGGAGACTCAGCTCTCACGGGCACCAAGAGTCCCAAACAGGCTGCGGGGTCCCCAGGAGAGTTCACAGCAGGCTCTTACAAGCTATCAAGGCACGGCCGCCGGCCGTATATACGGATGAGCTTCTCTCTTGAAACTTTGTATTCAATCAGATCACTGCAAAATTTGGCCTAGAAGACACCTTGGAGAAAGCCGAGTGAGCAGTTTACACATCCTGCGGTGGCGAGTTTCTGTCTCCCCAGGAGACTTGCAGGCTGTTTCCACCCCAGGACAGTTGCTTTCGTCCGGACACGGGTCTCAGCCCCTCTCCTGACACCCAGCTCACACTAGGTGCTCAATGAATGGATGGATCTAGTCCAAGCCATTGTTTCTCAGATATGACGGTCCCCAGACCCGCAGAAATTAGATTCCCTTTCCAATTCCACCGGGGCCTCGCTCCGGATCCAAAGTGTTTGCATAAAACGCGGCTGCATATGTTTCGAGACAGGGTATACTGCTCCGGCATCAGACTTACTACCTCCTGCAGTGCCACCGCGGGCAAGGAGCTTGCGGCATTTGCGAAATGGGGCGAACAAGGAAGGAACCGCCTTAAAGGGTGGAGCGAAGGAGGTGGGAAATGATGCAAGCAGAGTGATGATCAGAAGGCCCCGCCCTGGCGGAAAACCGGACTGTTTTCGCTGGCGAGGAACTGGGGGTGCCGGCGGGAAAGCAGTGGAAGGGGGAGCGGGGGTTCCGCGTGGCGCCCCGCCGCCTGGCCGCGCAGCTCCCGCGAGGTCCCGCCGCGGCCGCCCCGCGGAAGCCGAGCTCGCCTCCCCGAGCCGGGCTCTGCCAGCGGTGACGCGCCGCCGCGGGGGTCGCGCCGCGCCGGCCTTTGAATCCTGGGAAGGACGCGCCAGCGACAAGCCCCGCCCCGGAAACACGCCCCCTGCCGCCGAGGCGCGCTTTCGAAAGTCCCCACTCCGGCCCTGGTACCCTTCGTTGTCTTCGGGCAGCTCGCTTGCCGGTGCCCTCGAGTCCGCCCCGCCCTGTGCGCCCTCCCGGACGCGGGGGTGGGGGGAGCCCCGAGGCCGCACAGCGATGAGCAGGACCCGCGAGGAGGTGGACGCGACGCTCCAGATCGCCAAGCTGAATGCGGCCGAGCTGCTGCCGGCCGTGCACTGCCTGGGCTTCGGCCCCGGGGCCGGCGCCGCCGCGGGTGACTTCTGCCTGCTGGAGCTGGAGCCCGCGCTGTGCCAGCAGCTGGAGGCCGGGCGCAGGTGAGCCTCCCGCCTGCCGCCGGCCCGCTGCCCCGCGGGGGAACGCGGGACGGGGACGCCGGGCCGGAAAGGGGCCTGGAGTTGAGCAGGGCGCTCGCAGCTGCCGGGAGGCCTGATCTCCAGCGCGCTGCCTTTTCCCGAGGAGTCCACACCTCTCCCGGTGGTACACTTAGCTGGACTGGGGTGATGCCAGCACGCCTGGTGCATCCGATCGGGGAGGCCTGCGTCCTCGGAGACAGATCAGGAAGCATAACCTCAGGGAAGTTTTGGAGACCTTAACAGGGATGCCGGCAGCTGCCCTGAACACCTCGCCATTCTAGCTTACAGTCAGCGCTACTGTCTAATATTTATAGAGTTCTTTTTGCCTTCTACTTAACTTCGTTTCGAGACGATAGGTAGTACTGTAGGGAATAAGTTGAAAAACGTTTTACAGAGTTGGTAGTTGTGGCATGCCCTCAAGAAACAGACTTGCTTGGGGTCATTTAGTGGGAATCTGAAGCTGTTTCTAATTGTGGATCAGCTACACATTAGCTTCAGAACCATGGATTTAAAAACACAGTCAGAAGAGAAGTCTAGAGAATCAGTCTGTCAAATGTGTGCTCCCCCAGCTCTTGGCAAGTAGGAGTTAGGGGCTCTGGTTTGTTTCTTGTTTGCACCACCTCACTTCCAACACCTGTATTTTATTAGGTAGTTTGTGCTCTTGTAGATTCCTTTAAGTCGAACTTCTCAGGATTTCAGTTTTCATATTTACTCATCTGGTAGTATTATAATTAACTGGCCAGTTTTCAGATGCTAGGCACAAAGTATCTTTAAGGGAGCCAAAAGGGAGTCTCACTCGTTGGTTTTCCTCCCCACTGAGTTGTGAAAGGACTTCAGGCGTGGGGACCTTCTTTATATTTAGTGCAATGTGGAAGTCAATGTGGAAGAGTGGTTACTTGAGACTATTAAGTGTTAGTGCTAGGAAGCTTAAAAAAAACAACATGCATTCTTTTCACTTGAACTGAGTCTTAATTTTAAAAAAGTACTTACACATTCTTCTATTTCAGGTTTTATTTTTACTATTTATTTAAAAGAAGCGAATAGTGTACAGGAGGGTTAAATGTTTTATAGACAAAACCGCTAGAAACTACTCCCTTGCTGTCAACTCCACTTTTTTTTAAGATTCTTAAAAATGTTTATTTATTTATTTTGAGAGAAGCGGAGGGTGGGACAGAGAGAGAGGAGAGAGAGGATCTCAAGCAGTTTATCCTCACATGAGAAACCGAAATCAGGAATCAGACGCTTTACCAACTGAGCCACCCTGGCGCCCCCTCCCCCCATCGTCTCCTTCTTTAGTGTTTCCTCTTAGTCCTCACCTCTGTTATTCTTGCTCTTTTCCCCCTGTGAGCCTTTGTCAGAGCTTCTCTACTGCCATGTGTAAACATATCTTTTTCATATTTTTTCATTCAGCGTTGCCTCTCTCTTCGTAAAGTCCCGATATCTTTGCAACAAGAGCTGATGCGTAGGCTGGGATGTGTCCTAGGATTGTTAGGGGACACTCAGAACAAAACAAGAAGAATCTCTCTTAGGTGGGTACCAGGACCATCAGCATGATGGTGATCATCTGGGAGCTTGTTAGAAATGCAGAATCCTGGGTCCTGTCCCAGACCTGCAGATTGGGATTCAGTTTTTTAACAAGATTCCCTAAGATGCCTCCGCATAGGTTTGAGAAGTACTGCTTTAACGTGGTTTAGGAAATTGACATCGTGGCTGAAGCTACTGGTTGCTTTTGTCTTGTGCTCTTGGAAGCAGTTTGCAGAAAGATGCGATGTGGTAACTTTTGGACTCTTGGCCCCTTTGGATCTTTCTTGCATGTTGAATTATTTTTCCTTGGTCAGGCCACCTGGTGCCCCTCTGTCTCTCAGCTGGTTCCGCCATTGCTCTCTGGAGCCCAGCATTATGTGAGGGTGGTGAGAACAGGGGCCAGACCCAGCCTCAAGACTTAATTTTAAATTCTGCAAACCTGGAGGATTTTGGAACTGTTTATAATGAAGATGTCCCTTGAAGTCTCAACAAACCATGTCTTTTCTCTTCCCATTTTCCTGCAGTCTTGTGATTCGTGGTGATAAAGAAGAGCAGGCTGTGCTGTGCAGTAAAGACAAAACGTATGACTTGAAGATAGCAGACACTTCCAATATGTTGCTTTTCATTCCTGGTTGTAAAACTCCTGACCAGCTGAAGGCGGAAGAAACACGTTGTGACATTATTCATACTGAGGTACTGCTATTTATCTTCTCATTTATATGAGAATCACAACATATGTGCTAATATTGCCTTTAATTAAAATCTTTAGGTGTGAAATGCATGATCACAGGGGACCTGGAAGATTCTCTAACGAGATTTAAAATTTCTTGGCATCATTTGTTTGTTTGGAGTCTTGCGAAGTTGTCTTTATTTTCCCTACTTGAGTTTTAAGTCCCAGATGAGGTGACCATTGCTGGTGACATAGAAAGTGCATTAGGAGGTGACGTATTCTAAACGTTTTACCTATTTTTAGTAAGTCTTGCAGTGTATATGTTTTGAAAGAAGACTCCCTCACACAACTAGCACCTTAAGTAATATTTAGGAGGCAGAGAAATGAAGAAATTGGGTTTTCAAGGCAAGTGTGTGTGTGTGTGTGTGTGTGTGTGTGTGTGAGTGTGACCTTTGAAGTCCCTTTAATTCATTACTACCTCTAGCCATGTATGACCAAGTCTTAATTATTGTGGAGGCTACTGGTGGCAGATACCAAATAGAAGTCTCCATTCTGGTTAGATTGTTAACACATGTTGTGATCGAAACACAGCCTTACATTTCCTCAGAATGATTTTAGGCCATCTAGTGCCTTAGAAACAATTGGAATAGAGATAAGGGAAAATAGTGGGAAATCTCTGACCCACGATGTTGCCAGAACAAAAGAAACTTTGGTAAAATGTGTATTTTGGTTTTGGGGGGGGGGAGGGTTGTGTCTTTTAATTAGACACATGGGCAGTTTAGTCTTTTGTAAACTGTTGGTTTCTCATCGCATACCTGTTCTGTAGGTATTTTGCAGGCCTGTAACAATACCGGAGTGCCTTTGGGCTCTCCTTACGGGAACTGTGTGCAACTGAGACCAGGCAAAGCTTAACAAAGTTCTACCAACTAAAATTTTAATCTGTGGTTGAGCTTTAGATGTCTGAAAGGGCTAGAGAAGAAATGCGCGTGCACAAAGCAGGCTGTTGATGGTAAATGACAGTGGACACTCAGCCTCAGCAGGTAACAGGATGGTGGAGCCTGCAGCAAATTGAAGAGCACAGGCCCCACGGAGGTGGGCGGCCATAGCTTGACCTTGTGGGAAAGCAGGCCCAGAACTGCCAAATCTTCTGATTGCTTGTTTTCTTTTTTAAAAAAATTTTTTTTGATGTTTTATTTATTTCTGAGAGAGAGAGAGAGAGAGAGAGACAGCATGAGCAGGGGAGGGTCAGAGAGAGAGGGAGACACAGAAGCTGAAGCAGGCTCCAAGCTCTGAGCTGTCAGCACAGAGCCCGACACGGAGCTCGAACTCATGGACCGTGAGATCATGACATGAACCAAAGTCAGATGCTTAACCAACTGAGCCACCCAGGCGCCCCAGCAGTTTGGAAAGATGTTTCCTGAAGATACCCATCCATTTGCTGAGTTGGCTGGAGGGTATTTTCTCAACAGAAAGTGAAATGCCTGGCTTTCTTGTCTTCTGATTGAGAGCAATGAGTTGGTTGAAATTTTGTATGACATTTTCATCTAGAATAGTCCCTGAAAGGCTCTAATATATTTATACTTTCTAGATCTTTGGTTTTTCTAATAATTATTGGGAATTAAGAAGATGCAGACCTAAATTAAAGAAGCTAAAGAAGCTTTTGATGGAAAATGCCTACGAAGGACCTGACAGTCAGAAAGAGAAGGATTCCAATCATTCAAAAGTAAGACTTATTTTCACTTTTTTTAAATTGAAAAATAGAACTATAATTAGAGGTATTTAATGGTGACATTTTTATTTTTAATGATTGTATTATGAAAATTTCAGACATCCCCCGAAGCAGAAAGATCTCCATATATTCATCACTCAGTTGAACATTTATCCCTGTTTTGTCAGTCTGGTTTCTTCTGTCCCCCGCTGCTTCCTAGCTTTTTTTCCCCCCCCTTCTTTTTCTGGAATATTTTTTTAAATTGTTTTAAATGTTTATTTTTGAGAGAGAAAGGCAGACACAGAATCCGGAGAACGATCCAGGCTCTGAGCTGTCAGCACAGAGCCTGACATGGGGCTTGGACTCACGAACTGCTGGATCATGACCTGAGCCAAAATTGGATGCTACCCACTGAGCCACCCAGAGGGCCCCCCCCCCTCCCCCCAGTCTGGAGTATTTTCAAGCAACTCCTAGATATCATGGTGTCGTTTACAAAGCTAAAAGTATTGCGTGTTCCTAACTATTAAGTACATTTTTTAGAAGTTAAATTAGTTTTTATTTAATTAAAATTATAATTCGGGGCTCTTCAGAAAAGGCGTTATGGAAATGGAAATGGAAACTATTCTTATTCTTTTGTGAGAATTAATTAATTCCTGGAAGTATGGAAAAATATTTACAAGCCAAGTAAAAAAACAATTCAAGTTTCTAATGTAGTTCAACATTATAACTGTACTGGTATTCTGAAGTCCGCTCTCTTCTTCTCTGTTGACTGATTTCCTTTCTTTTTTTGGGTAACCACTTTATTGAGATACAATTTGTATACCAGACAGGTCACTCATTCATTGGTTTTAGTACATTCACGGAGTTGTACAGTCGTCACCATGATGAAATTTAGGACATTTTTCTCACCCCGAGGAAACCCTGTACTCCTTAACTCTTCTCTTTTAAACTTATCTTTCCCTGCTTCCCTCTCCCATCAGCAACCACTAATCTTTCAGTCTCTTGATTTGCCTCTTTTGGGCATTTCATATGAATAGAATCATATACAACCTTTTCTGACTGGCTTTCTTTTTTTTTCTGATTTGGCGTGTTTTCAAGGTTCATTCGTGTTGCAGCATATATTAGTAATTTATTTGTCTTTATTGGAAAATACTCCATTTTACGGGTATACCACATTTTGTTCTATGTTCCTCAGCTGACGGACATTTGGGTAGTTTCCACATTTTATTATGAATGACATTCCTGTGAACATTTGTGTACAGGTTTCTAGAGGACCTGTGTTTTCCTTTATCTTGGGTTTATACACAAGAGTGGAATTGATGGCTCATGTTGTAACTCTTGGTAACTTTTTGAGGAACTGGCAGACTGTTTTCCAAAGTGGCTGCACCATTTTACATTCCCATGTATGAGGGCTTCAGTTTCTCCACATCCTTGACAACTCTTGTTATTGTCTTTTTTATATCCATACCAGTGGATTTGAAGCAAGATCATTGTGGTTTTGATGTGTATTTCCCTAATGACCGATGATGTTGACCATCTTTTTATGTGCTTTTTGACTATTTGTATTTCATTGAAAACAGTCTATTCAGGAACGCCTTTGCCTAATTTGTAATTGGGTTATTTGTCTTTTTATTACTGGGTTGTCGGAGACTTCTTTATATAATCTAATTACAAGTTCCTTATCAGAAACATAATTTACTTATGGGCACTTGGGTAGCTTAGTCACTTAAACCTCCGACTCTTGATTTGGCTCAGGTCGTGATCTCACAGTTCCGTGAGATGGAACACCATATTGGGTTCCCTGCTGACAGCACAGAGCCTGTTTGGGATTCTCTCTCCCTCTACCCCTCCTTGGTTCATGCATACACACACAAGCTCTCTCTCTAAAATAAATAAACATAAAACAAAAGAAATGTAATATGCTTATATTTTCTCCCATTTTGTGGGTTATTTTTTCACTTCTGATTTTTAAAAAAATTATTTTTATTATTATTATTTTTTTATTTTTGAGAGAGAGAGTGAAGATGAGCAATGGGGGGTGATGGGGACAGAGGGCAGAATCCAAAGCAGGCCCCGGGCTCTGAGCTGGTAGCACAAAGCCCAGCGTGGGGCTCAAACTCATGAGCTATGAGATCATGACCTGAGCCGAGGTCGGATGCTTAACTGACTGAGCCAGCCAGGCATCCCTCACTTTTGATTTTTCTTAAAAATTGTGATAAATATACATAAGATAAAATGTACAGTTTTAACGTTTTTATGTGTATAGTTTTGTGCCATTACGTACATTCACATTGTTCTGTAATCATGACCACCACGCATCATCCGTAGAAACCTTTCATGTTCCCAAGTTGGGACCAAATACCCATTAAACACTAACTCCCCAGTTTCCCCTGCCTCCTAGCCTCTGGCAACTACTACCCTACTTTTCATCTTTATGAATTTGACTATTCTAAATATCCCATACAGGTGGGATCATATAGTATTTATCCTTTTGCGTTGATAGTAATTTGAAGTACAGAAGTTTTTCATTGTGATGAAGTCCAATTTAATGTTTTTTCTTTTGCCATTTGTTTTTGGTATCCTAGCTAAGAAACTTAAGCTAAATCCAACATCATGAACCCCTGTATTTTTTTCTAAGATTTCATGTGGTAATCATTATACATCATTAAAAGAAGAAATTGAGCTACAGTATAAATACTGCCTTAATCTGTTCTGTGTATTTATCCCCCCAAATTTAATAAATTTAAAAAAAATATTCTTCAAAGGCCTTAAAATTTTTCTTGGGGTTTTTTTTTTCTTGTTTTAGTATACAACTGAAGATTTGCTTGATCAAATTCAGGCAAGTGAGGAAGAAATAATGGCCCAATTACAAGTTCTAAATGCCTGTGAGATTGAAGGTAACATCACTTACTGTAATCATTCATAAGAATGGAATTGGGCGGGGCACCTGGGTGGCTTAGTTGGTTAAGCGTCCATGATCTCGCGGTAGTGGGTTCGAGCCCCACGTCAGGCTCTGTGCTGACTGCCAGCTCAGAGCCTGGAGCCTGTTTCAGACTCTGAATCTCTCTCTCTCTGACCCTCCCCTGCTCATGCTCTCTCTCTCTCTCTCTCTCTCCTAGAAATAAATAAAAATATTAAAAAAAAAAAAAAAAGCATGGAATTGGGCATCACGTGTGAGAGAGATTTACGGACATCTTGATCCTATAGCACACTATTTATTTAATTTTCTTTTGGGCTTAAAGATTATGATATTTATGTTTTTGGGTGTGGGGTAGAGACTACATGTGACCTTCACCTGAGGAGGTCAGCTGTGACCAGTGACTCCAACCACTCTTTACAGGGCTTTTCCTTGTCATGGAAAGGAAAGTACATTTGGTCCTAAGCATTGAAAATAAAATTTTTATGATGGATGCCTGCTGTTAATTACTATGGTGTATGGGTACCAGGCATGTTGAGGTTAGAAACCAATGGATTTTAATGCAGCTCTGTATATTAGTCACTTCTCACCTGGGGAGGGATAAAATTTTAGTCTGTGTCAAGGAGCGTGTAGATTATTCCTAACATACTTTCTGAGATCAACATCACACATTTCCCTTTTTCAATGTTGCCTTTATTCTTTCAGAATAGCAATAGTAACATTCTTCCTTGGAAATGGTAGATTTGTACTTGATTTGTTTCTCCAGGGATGGTGGTAGAGCCTTCGATTATAAGATGGCATTTCGTGATCTTTCACCAGAATAGGGAAAGTTGCCTTGATGTCTAGGCTTTATCTTGCCACTGGTTCACATTGTACCTCTGAGTCCATGGACTCTTGAGTGACCTAGGCTTCTTTACAAGTACGAGGACACTTCTGCAGGACAGCTAGGAGTGAGAGTTATAACCATGGCAGTGCCCCTCAGCAGAGTTCAGCATATGGGATATCAAACCTACGGTCTTTACCTCATTTGTACAACGTTCTAATGAAATGACTATTCTAGCAACAGGTTTCCACGTTTCCATTTAGATCGACAAGATTATTCTGAGATTATTGAGTGTTAAAACACTCGATAAAAATCAGTGTTAGTCACATATGAGGTATTTTTTAAACCTGCTTGGTTTCAGTGCGCTAAGGTGGCTCGGTTGGTTGAGCATCTGACTTTGGCTCAAGTCATGATATCATGGTCCATGAGTTCGAGCCCCACATCAGGCTCTGTGCCAACAGCTCAGAGCCTGGAGCCTGCTTCAGATTCTGTGTGTCCCTCTGTGTATGCCCCTCCCCTGCTCACATTCTATCTCTCTCTCTCAGAAATAAAATAAATACATAAAAAAGGTTAAAAAAAAGGTGCTTCATTCTCTCAAGACACAATTCATTGTGATTAGGAGAAAACATAAAAAGCAGCATTGCTTATAAAGAAAGCTAAGACTTTAGTGTCTCTTTTATGTGCTGGGCAAGAGCATGCTGCTTCTTTATTGATCATTAGCCAATTAATTTGCTTAAAATGTTCTTTGGTAAAGATTACATTTGGAATTTGTAGGTTATTGGAGGATTCTTGACTTTGATTATGAGATGAAACTTCTGAATCATGTAACTCAGCTTGTGGACTCTGAATCTTGGTCTTTTGATAAAGTTCCTTTGAACACGTGCCTTCAGGAGCTTGGACCATTGGAGCCAGAGTAAGTATTTTAATCACTGTCCCTCCAAATTTTCTTTAAAGAAGCAAAGTTATTTTCTAGGATGGAGCTAAACCCAGGGCATAGGCTATTTATATTGGGATATCGTATAGAAATTTAAAAAATACATAACCAGGAAGGACTTAGGAATTTTGGTTACTAGACTGAATCAGTGTGCATCATCTCTGTTTTTTCCTGCCATAAAAAATGTTAAGAAATAGGGGTGCCTGGGTGGCTCAGTCGGTTAAGTGTCCGACTTCGGCTAAGGTCACAATCTAATGGTTCATGGGTTCAAGCCCACGTCGGGCTCTATGCTGACAGCCAGCTCAGGGCCTGGAGCCTGTTACAGATTCTGTGTCTCCCTCTCTCTCTGACCCTCCCCTGGTCATGCTGGCTGGTTGTCTCTCTCTCTCTCTCTCTCAGAAATAAATAAAACATTAAAAAATTTTTTAAAAATGTAAAGAAATAATTATATTTAAGCTGTTTTATGATAATAAATGTATGTTCACACAGTTCATGTAAGAATGTCTAGCATGGGGGTGCCTGGTTGGCTCAGTCAGTTAGGCGGCCAACTTCAGCTCAGGTCATGATCTCACAGCTTGTGAGTTCGAGCCCTGCGTTGGGCTTTGTGCTGACAGCTCGGAGCCTGGAGCCTGCTTCGGATTCTGTCTCTCTCTCTCTCTCTCTCTCTCTCTCTCTCTGTCTCTGCCTTGCCCCGCTCATACTCTGTGTCTCTGTCTCTAAAAAAATAAATAAATGTTAAAAAAAAAATTTTTTTTAAATAAAAAAGAATGTCTAGCATGGGCCTGGCATACATGGCTTCCCAGTATTTTTTAGTTAGTTCCTAATGTAAAATTTTATGTGGCAACTGAAATCACTTAGTATTTCAGATCTCAAAGTTCTGTCTTAAGTTTTTAGTTAGCAAAGGTGTTTAAGATATAATGCATAAAAATGTGAGAACTTTTAAAATGAGTATTTGTAAATTTTTCAGGGAAATGATTGAACACTGTCTTAAATGTTATGGAAAGAAATACATAGAGGAAGGTAAGATTTGGAAAGTATTTTAACTTGTGTGTGTTTAAAGTTGGTAGAGGGGCACCTGGGTGGCTCAGTCGGTTAAGCATCCAATTTTGGCTCAGGTCATGATCTTGCGGTTTGGGCTCTGTGCTGACAGCTCAGAGCCTGGAGCCTGCTTCAGATTCTGTATCTACCTGTCTCTCACCCTCTCCTGCTCATGCTGTCTCTCTCTCTCTCTCTCTCTCTCAGAAATAAATAAAAACATTAAAAAATATTTAAAAAAATAAGTAAACATTTTAAAAAATGTTTAAAATTGTATGCCTTTCTGAAGCGTGTGCCTGATAAAAAACAACCCCATGGGCTTGTGAGAAGTGAGCTGTGTATAATTTTTTCTGAGAAATTGCACTGAGGAAAAGGAAGCGTTAGTAGTGCTTTGAATTGCCAGTATGAAACCATCCAAACCCTTTTCCTTTAGGTGAAGTTTATTTTGAATTGAGTGCTGATAAAATATGCAGAGCAACAGCACAGATGCTACTTCAGAATGCGGTGAAATTTAATCTGGCTGAGTTTCAAGAAGTGTGGCAACAGAGTGTTCCCGAAGGAATGATAACCAAGCTTGATCAACTTAAGGTAAGGTAGCAATAGTGCATGCTCCCATAACTCACCTGGTTATCGTTCATTATTGGGTGGAAAGAAATTTGTATTGCAACTGAGCTTGGAGCCACTTTATTTTCCCAGCCACCATTTCCACTGGGAGCACACTGTGCATTCAGTCCGTCTCTGGCTTTAGAACACTTCTGTCACCTCAGTGAGATCCCTCAAGCCTGTTTATAGTTAATCCTTCCTCCTGCCTGGTGTATCTCATCTTGTTGCATCCTCTTCATAATCTTCCCTGTACCTTCTTCCCTTTCTACTTCTCTCCTGCTCCCTGCATACCAGCCTTCTTTCAGGTTTTCAGGATCACCAAGCTCTGTCCTACCTCAGAAACTTCACACAAGCCTTTTTGTTCTAGAATGACCTTCTTTGTCATTTCGTCTCGCCAGCCACTTCCTATTCATCTTTGAGTCACTTCATCAAGGGGGCTTCCCTTTAAAACAAAATGCCTCCTCTCTTACTCTGCCACCGCACCCTGTAGTTTTCCTTCATGGTGCTTATGGCTTAGCACTGGGAAAACGTTTAATTATGTGGGTTTTCCACTCTCTACTTGGATAGAATTTTGTTCACTCTTGCTTATCAATGCATAGCATACTGCCTGGCGTGTCGCATATGCTCAGTAAATATTTGTTAAATTGTGAAAGGATTTGCTCAATATTTACAGAGTTCCTTTTATGTCTAGGCACCATGCTAGATGCTGAGTAGAAAACATCACCCAATGTGCCATCAAAATCTCAGCCTGGGGTCTAGCAATGGGGGGTGCACGTTGCCTGTATAAATCTTTTCTAATAATGTAAAGTGATCTGTGTCATGGGAAGGACATGTGTACAAGATATGGGAAAACAAAGAAAGGGGACTTATCATCTGACTGTTCAATCAGAGATGATTTTCTGAAGGAATGGCGATTTAAGCTGCTGGGTTTAAAAGAATGAACTATTAACTCTCAAGATGGAGGCGCAGAGATAAGGATCCAGGACATCATGCTCCAGGGCATGGAGGGACACAAATTGGGACGCTGTTAGTAGGAGGAAGAGTGAGAGTGGAAGTTGCTGTGAGTCAGTGAGGGACACTATGGTCTGTGCTAAGGAATTTCAGTCCTATTTAGAAAGCTCCTTTGGGGCCCTTTAGTGACATCAAAAGAGCTACCTGGTGAGTTTTGTCTTTTGGAAAGAACACTGACCTTGAAGATGGTTAGATGGAAGTTTGGCCAGATTATGAGAAAGGAGAACTATCCAGGCTCTCTACACATAAGTACTCCTAAGAAAGTACTGACCAAAGAACTAGGTGATGGAGCATAGACAGAGAAATGTTGAGGCCTTAAAATCTATAGGATTAAGTTTGAATTATGGAGGGGTGCCTGGGTGGCTTAGTCGGTTAAGCGTCCGACTTTTGCTTAGGTCATGATCTCGCGGTTCGTGGGTTCGAGCCCCGCGTCGGGCTCTGTGCTGACTGCCAGCTCAGAGCCTGGAGCCTGTTTCAGTCTGTGACTCCCTCTCTCTCTGACCCTCCCCTACTCACGCTGTCTCTCTCTCTCTCCTAGAAATAAATAAAACATAAAAAAAAAAAAGTTTGAATAATGGAATCTAGGATAATCCAGGTCTCCTCATATCCTAGGATAATGAGACTAGAGCAGGTTTGGGTGACAAGCACAATGAGTTCATAGATGGGTTTGGATAGAGTTCCTGTGCCTGGAAGAGAGATTTGAGTTGAAGATAACATATATTACCGTCTAGCAAGTAGGTGGTGCTTACAGTTACGGGTTTAGTTGAGGTTGGCTGAGTCATCCAGGGCAGTGACCGTGAGACAAGTTGAAGGATCAGGATAGAAGCCCAAAGAAATGCAACATTGAGTAAGGAGGAAAATGAGATGGTGATGTCAGAGATAGAGATTCAAAGAGTAGGAATCAACATTCATAAAGGACACAGAGCTAGCAAGATGAATCCAAGAAAGGGGCCACTGGATTTGTCAATGACAGGTCACTGGTAACCTTGAACTATAGCTATTCTGATAAAATGTGCAGCAGGAGCCAGAATGCAGAAGGGAAAAAAGAATTCACTTTTGAATGGAGCTCGTTTTATGAAAAAGGCTATTGGAGGTCTCTCTGTAGTTTATGTGTTTCATGTAACTGACGTCTTAAATGGCTTGAGCTCAGCTGAACCCAAAGGTAAAAAGATGAGTTATATTTAAACATTAGACCAGTATTTTAACTGCCCTTTTCTGTTTCATTTTTTCATAGGGTTTAGCCTTGGTGGATAGACAGTCAAGACCACAAATCATATTTTTGCTAAAAGTAGATGATCTACCTGAGGACAATCAAGAACGTTTTAATAGTCTATTCTCTCTAAGGGAAAAGTGGACAGAAGAAGACATTGCTCCATATATTCAGTAAGTAATTTACTAAAATGGATTGGGAAGGTTGCTCTTCTTATTTTTTTTTTAACTTATTTTTTTTTTAATATTTTATTTATTTCTGAGAGAGAGACAGTGTGTACAGGGGAGGGTCAGAGAGAGAGGGAGACACAGAATCCGAAAACAGGCTCCAGGCTCTGAGCTAGCTGTCAGCACAGAGCCCGACGCAGGGCTCAAACCCACAAACCGTGAGATCATGACCTGAGCCGAAGTCGGACAGTTAGCCGACTGAGCCACCCAGGCACCCCAAGGTTGCTTTTCTTATAAAGAGTAGCTTAGAGATCTTAGATTTATTATTAGGACATATTCTTTTTTCTTTTTTTTTTTTTTTGAGTGTTCCCTAGGGACACAGCTTCCTTCAAAACTTTCTCAAGTTGGTGGCCATCTTCCCTGTCATTCTCCACAACTTCTGTTCCTGGTCTTGGAGAATGTTTGTCTTTTTCCCCCTACTGCCTCTAAAACCATGTCTCTGCCCTCCTCCCTGCAAAACTGCAGCTCTTCGATGACCAAAAAGGCTACATACCCTGCTATGGCACCTCCTGTCTTTCCTGCTGCTTTGCTTTAACATTTTGGTAGATACCAGATTCCAGAAGAATGAATTAGCTCTTTAGTCACTGTTTAAAGAACCTCAAATGCACTGACGTTACCACCTCCTTACTTCTTACCTCTCATGTCCTCTCCTCTCTTTCCCCAGGTTGGATTTCCTGGTCAGGATCTCTAGCTTCTACTGTGTATGCTTTGCTCCTATCGCCCCCTCTCTCCCTCTTGTCATACCTGTCTGGCAAAAATCTGTAAAGATCAAACTCAACCCTCTCCTTACTCTATGCCTCCACCTGGGCAGGTGAAATTTCCTGGAGAAAAAGACACAATGGAAGTTGCCAGTCTTACTTAAGAGCCTAAGTGGTACTTCACAGAGTCCTTGGCAAGGAGATTTTTCTACCCTTGGAGCTCACTTTTCATAGTTTTGCTTTTTGCATGATCAGTACCTCCTTTTTCCTCTGCACCCTCAGCTTGTGACCTCATTTCTTGAGAGAATAGAAACAGATGAGAAAACACAAGGACAACTTCTTTCCTACTGCCAAACCCGCCAGCCTCAGTGTGTTGTGTCCACATACGCTTCCTCTGCAGTCCCTCCTATATAGTGCGTGAACCGGCCCCGCCCCTAAGGCCAATCCTCCTTCTGCACTGGATCCATCCCTCGGGCCTTACATAGAGGTATATCCTCTAGTTATCTTTTTCTCCCTTGTGCTATTCATGTCTCCTTACCTGCTGGATTATTCCCACCGATATGTGGTATGCTGTGGTACCGGTCATCTTAAAAAACAACCACCACCTACCGGACTCTCTGCCCTCTGCTCTCCTTCACAAGAAACTCCTTTTAAAAGTACTATTTATATTACTTCGTCTCCCATTTTCCTTAAGCCGGTGGGATCTTAACCCGCTGACATCCATTTTTCTACATTCAGTGGTCAGTTATCTTGTTCACTTAGCACTGTTTCACACTGTAGATCACTTTCTACTTGAAACACACTGTTTTTTTTTTCCCTTCTCTCCCAAGGTAGCTCCTTTTCTGTGTCTTTTGCTGATGTCTCCCTGTTCTTCCCAATCTTTAGATGGAACGTTCTAGGACTCCATTCGTGACCAGCTTCTCTTCTGTTTATGTTTTTTCCTTGGTGCCGTCATCTAGGCCTGAATTTAAATTTATTTAATTTTTTAATTTTTATTTATTTTTGAGAGCAAGAGAGACCGAGCATGAGTCGGAGAGGGGCACAGAGAGAAGGGGAGACAGAATCTGAAGAGGGCTCCAGACTCTGAGCTGTCAGCACAAAGCCCGAGGCAGGGCTTGAGCTTATGAACCGTGAGATCATGACCTGAGCCGAAGTCGTACACTTGACCAATTGAGCCACCCAGGCGCCCTCGCCTGAATTTAAATTTAAAGACCTACTAATTTTTATCTTCACACTTGATCTTTTCCCTGAGCTCTAGTTTCTCTTATCTAGCTGCCTAACGAACATTTCTACGAGGATATCTAAGAGGAATTTTAACCTGACATGCTAACAACAGAGCAGTGGCTGCCCCTTGTCTAACCCCGTCTTCCACATCTCAGTCAACAGCACTCCCGTTTGTCCGGTTACTCAAGCGAGAAGTCCGGTTGTCTTTTTCTTCTCTCACCGCCTGGTTTAAACTATGAGCAAATCCTAATGGGTCATCTAGTACCTGCTTCTGAATTGGTCTCCCTACTTCTACTTTTTCCTCTTCCCCTCTCCTCCTTTTCAAACGTTTTATTTTAGAAAACATTCAAAAGTGATAATATAACGAACCCTCCATGTGGTCATCATTCAGCTTCCATAATCAACTCATTGCCTCCATTCTTTATAATCCAGATCACATTCTGCTTTTCCATTCATTAAAACCCTCCTGGGGCTTCCCTTTATCCTTAGGATTAAATCACGATTGCTTTCCATGTGCTTTAAGGCCCTGTATGATCTTGCCCTTGCTCCCTTCTCCAGTTCATGTTATTTTGTTCCATTCTTAGCCTTCTCTTTGAGGTACAGAAAAGGAAGCTAAGGTTGAGGGAGGGTAGGTAACCTAGGCAAGCACACACAGGTAGCCTGTAATCCAGGGTCTCTGTGTCTACACCTTCCTCTGTCCCATAGCTTGTATTTCTGATTTAGAGGCCGTGTGATAGAATGGGGCAAAAAAGGGACTCAGGAGGCATGGAGACTGGCAGCAAAATTGGATTCCATCCTTTGCTACCTGAGCTAATTTCCTCATATCTAATGTGGGGTTAAATTATAAATTACTTTTACTCTTTCTGTGAAGGTCAAACGAGATAATACATGTAATGTACCTAGTTCAAGTAAGGCTGAGTAACCACTCCCTACCCTGTTTCTCCCACAAACACATCCTTATGCTTGCAGGAAAGATGAATTTAGACAAGAGAGAGAGAGATAACTAGCACTGTGAATATTATGTTCCCCAGCACATTCATGCTATTCACTTTTTTTTGTTGTTGTTCCTACAGAGATTTGTGTGGAGAGAAGCAAACCATAGGTACATTACTCACTAAATACTCTCGCTCTTCAATACAAAATGGTGTTAAAGTTTATAACTCGAGAAGACCCACTTCTTAAAAGAACAACAGTCTTTCTTTGGGACTAAAGTTGCTTCATAAAGTTGATGGATATAAGAAAAAGATTCTTTCATGTATTTGTATTCCAGACTTTAAAAAACACACTGCCTTGAGGCATTTTTCTCCTCATCCCTAAGCGGTTTGCAACTACTGCTCTTTTTTCCCCTTAAATGTGGTTGGGCATTTCTATATCTTTCAAGTTATGTTTGCGTTATGAATACAGTGTAAAGGACAAAAGGAAGTGGTGTTTACTAGATTTAGAATACCTCTAGAGTCTACATATTTTATTTATAGAAAAAGTTTTGCATTTTTTATATTTGAAATTGCATTTCTTTCATTAGGATTTGATTTTCTAATCATTAACAAATTTAAAGGCTTTTTCAAAGAGCTAAATAGTAATAGTTACCTAGAAGAGAAATTATTTATTCACTTAAATGTCATTTCTCAAGTGATTTCGCCTCTACTTTCAACATTCCATGAAAACAGGGTGTCGCTAGATGTTCTGTTATCTAAATTGCATTGATGAAATTGGCTTGGTAATAGCTCCTGTGTTGCCTGGCTGGTGTAGACATGCACTTTGGGATGAAACTGACTTGATCCTCAATCTTATGTGAAGATTACTAATAGAGCAGTTTATATTCCTATAATGGGTAAAACTGACACAGCTAATACTGGAAAACTACAGGTAATTTCTAGTTGGTTTTGGAATGCTAGATAAAAGTTGCTTTATAGTTTTATTTCCTAATTTGTATTCATTTAGACCAAAGTTCAAATTAATTTTTCCTTAGCTAATAAACTTGTCACCAGGTCAGTTTGAGGGGTTAGGCCAAAGTTAAATCTGATTCCAGGTTAAAAAAAATTATTAATCCTCAATTACCTGAGATTTAACTGTTAATGGAATTTACAATTGTTCTGTTCTCTTGTACATGAACTACAAGTTACCAATGGCTTCAAAATTCTTGTCTTTTCAATAAATGTTTTGTATCGGTGTGAATTGTTTTTGCTTTTTAAAGTACTGAGGCCGCAGTACCTAGTGAGGACTCTCGGGTTTAAGTTAGACTACCTGGGGTCTAATTACGTGTTTTCCAGCTTAAATCACTGGGGCCCAGTGAGTTCATGGTATCTTGTTAACACAGCAAACCAGCAAGACACCCCCCGCCCCACTCCTGGTTTCCTGTATCCCTGGTTACTAACACCCCCACCAACCCCTGTCCCGTTCTTCGCAAACCACTATGTATTTGTGGCCTAGTTCCTAAATTTCCAACAGTTCTCTCCCACCGCACACCCATGGTAAGGCAAACGCAAGCCCCTCAAAGTTATCGCGCAAGCCCCGCCCCCTGGCCCGAAACTTCCGGCTCCCGCCCGCGCCGCCGTTCCACTTCCGCTGACGCCAGAGGTTAGAGGTGACAGGCAAGATGTCGGCTGACGGTGGCTTTGAGCGGCTGCTGAGAAGAGCATCTTCGTGACCAGCTCTGCGGAAGCGGCTGAAAGGAGCCGACTCGGCGGAGCGAGTTTGAGGCGGCGGCAGCGGGGCCGGGGCCGGAGGTGGGCGCCGGAGCAGCCCCGGCCGCTGGGCATGACTGTCGGGAGCGTGGCGGAGCGAGGAGTGGGAGGCGCCGGAGGCCGGTGATCCCCCGCATCCCCCGGGAAACCGGGAAGCCGAGCTCGGTGCGAGCGCTTCATGCCGCCAACTGGTTTAGAGCCCGCCAGAATGAACAGGAAGAAAGGAGACAAGGGCTTTGAAAGCCCAAGGCCGTATAAATTATAAGTATTTTCCCATCTCCTTTCCTCTTCTAGATTTTGTTCCTATTGATCATACTTTGTGATGCTTGAAGCTGCCTTTGTGAGCCTGGAAAAGCTAGTAGGACGTTAGAACCCACTCACTGTGATGGAAATGGTGTTTGTAGGGCATCGTGTATGGTTTTGAATGAGTGTTATTCAACAGATTACCCCTTGCAGGTTAATAGGTATTTTTCTTTTTTTTTTTAATGTATTTTTTAAATGTTTATTTTGAGAGAGAGAACATGAGCAGGGTGAGAGGGAGAGGTGGGGGGTGGGGGAGAGAGAGAAAGAGAGAGCGCGAGAATCCCACGTAGGCCCAGCGCTGTCAGCACAGAGCCCCACGGTGGGGCTCAGTCTTACAGTGAGATCGTGACCTGAACTGAAATCAGGAGTCTGACACTTAACAGACTGAGCCACCCTGGGGCCCGATTATGTTTTTTAAAAAGTAGGTAGCGTTTTTTTTCCCCCGGAGAAATCTTTTTCCATTGGTTCTGCTCAGTTTAAAAAATGCAGTTACCTTAGTGTGCAGGATTTTAAAGTGAAAGATTAAGTATCATGAGCTGCTTATTCCTCACGTATAGAATAGAATAGAATTACGCTTTCATTTAATAATAAAAGTACTTTTTTTTTTTTTTAATATACAACCCATCAGGTCGTCTGCATCAACAACATAAACTTCCAGAGAAAGTCGGTTGTGGTGAGTATATTTTCAACAATTATAAGCAGTAACAGGTCACCTTGACAGTATTTAGAAACTTTCACTTCCAGATAACTGTTTCAAGAATAGGTAAGATTTGGGATTCCGATACGTATGACTCCAGGCGCATTGCCTTGATGTGACACTGGCTGCCTCCTCAATTCTCCCTTTTTTCTTTCTTCCCCCCACTCCTCCCTCCTGTTAACATTTTATTCCATTTAATCAGTTGTGGAGTGTGAAAGTCCATATTAAGCATTTTAGAATTGTGAAAGAAACAAGAATAAGCCCATAGTGGAATTTCTTAATGTGAAAAAAAATTAAGGTTAGTGGTCTCATTGACTTGACTTGGCTGCTAACAGGCCAGTTTTGTTTTATAATTCTTGGCCTCGTTTAGGTGGATTGCTTTTTAAAGTTGTAGGTAAGGTGTTTGCAATCTAGTAAACACTACCCCATCCCTTTGCTGTGTAGAGATTACATATATATCCTTGGCATATAGAAATGTTTGGCTACTTAAGGACTTAATTTGGGGGGAACTCATAATAAATAGACAAAATCAGCTGTTTAGAGGTATCTGAAGGCATGAATTTCCCCTGGAAACTGTTACCCATGTATTCATATGTTTACTTAAGATGAGCTATATAGGCAAAAAAATGGAACCTCTTCATAGGAATCATAGACCCCTTAACGGTTCATTAAGTCCCATCTCCTCATTTAAGAAATTTCTCAATCAGTATTCCTTATGTATGATTACCGATGACCCTTGCATAATATAGGGGTTGGAGTCCCGACCCACTGCACATTCAAAACTATAGCTATAACTTTTGACTTTTCAAAAACTTAACTACTGATATCCTATTGTTGACCAGAAATGTTATCAATAACATGATATCGATTAACACATCTTTGATATGCTTATTATATACTATATTTTTATGATAAGTAAGATTGAGAAAGAATGTGTTAAGAAAATCATAAGGAAGAGAAAATATATTTATAGCACTGAATTGTATTTAACAGGACAAAATCCACATATAAGTGGGCCTGTGCAGTTCATACCTGTGTTTACCTTGTGCTTCATGGAAGGATACTTTAGGTGTGTTGTGTTATATGGATTGGTAGGGAAGATAGGAGAATTAGGGAGTTTAAGCCCTAAAGGAAGATGACAACAGTGAAAGTGTATAGAAATAAAGTTGATATGGTTGACTGAATTACAGTGAACATTTATTGAGTATATACTATGTATGACCTTTCTTAATGTGTATGACCTCACTTAATCTTCACAATAACCCCATGAAATAGATACTCTTTTAATCTTATTTTATAATTAAAGCAGCTGAAAGACTGCAGACTAAGTAACTTTCTTCAGGGTGTAAAGTTAGCCAGTGATTGATTAAAATTTTTTTTAATAATTAGTTTTGAGAGAGAGACAGACAGACCCAGAATCCAAAGCAGGCTCCAGGCTCCCTTCTGTCAGCACAGCGAGTTTAGGGCTCAGACTCACAAGCCGTGATATCATGACCTGAGCCGAAGTCGGATGTTTAACTGATTGAGTCACCCAGGCACCCCCATTTTTTAATTATAGATGATCTAAAAGTCACCTTCAACTCCTTTCTGTCTGTTGTTTCCCCTCTCCACCTCCTCCACCCCTGCCAAATTGAAAGATGGAAAGAAATTGCAGATGACTTTTGCTAAGAGTGTTAGGAAGGAGTTGTGAATGATTTTTGGGTTTCCCACTAGAAGAATTGGTTGGGTGGTGTATGGGTTAGGGCCCCAAAAGGAAATAAGCAGCAGATTCATGTAGGTTAATTGAGAGAAAGAAGTAAAAAGACTATTTAGAAGAAACAGTGTTAAGAGAAACCAAGAGATGGTGGTGCACACGAGGTTAACAACAAGGGATAGTTACTGCTGCTAACCCTGAAAGAACAAAGGAAGGGAGAAGTTACTAGAACCTATAGTAGGTGGCAGAAAGAGTCACCATACCAAAGGTGTGGCCTTTGGTAGAAGAATGAAGCTGCTGCCTCCCTTTGCTGGATAGCGAAGAACCTGCAGAGATAAATGTAATGGGCTCATTTTCCTTCCCCTCACAATTTTCTCCTTGTGCTTCCTGTTTGACCATCCCAACCAGAAGCTGAAGGGCTGGTGCCCAGTTAATGCAACTCCTGGGGTGTGGAATGGATTAGGAGGGGCAAGAGGCGAATATCTAGAACAGCCTATGCATTTTATCCCCGAACCATCCTTTCTTGTTTTTTGTTGAGATGAAAAGCTAGTGTTCCCAACACAGGGGACTTAATGAAGTCTTATCCACTATCGCAGAGGTTGGCAATGGCCGACTATCTATTTTTGTAACAGGTTTTATTTGAGTACAGCCACACCCATTTATTTATATACTGTCTAAAGTGCTTTGAAGCTACACTGGCAGAGTTGAGTACCTGTGGCAGAGACTGTGTGGCCCACAAGAAAAAGTACCAGTCCCTCACCTAATGAATTCACATGAGGATATGGCCGCTCAGCTCTATCACCAGTATCTTTCATACAACATAGTGGAAAGAAAAATGGGTAAGAGAAAGTGAAACTTAATTGTGAGAGCCACTGTTTTCTTTAGCAGCCTTGAGTCAAGGCTGAAGTTGATATACACAACTGCATTATTCTTCCACTCATTCCATTTTTCCTTTATCTTCTGCCACCACTTCTGTTGGTCTGACCTAGACCTTCATTCCTGTAGGATCTGCATCCTTGCTTGTCCTGTCTCTGTTGGGTTCTTGCAGTTTTCCATTGATTAGTACTATTGGTTGAGTGACCCTAACATGCATTCTGTGAATCTCTGTGGACTGCATATGTAATCGTTGTCCTTACTATGTAGCAGAACCTTA